AAAACTCCTCGTGGTTTGATCGATTTAAGTAACCATAAACGACGCAAGACATGCATTTTGAGTTTGTTATAGTGCTTTCTAAATACACCAAATCACTTCCTGCCCTCCATTTGCATTTCGCGCCATGGCAACGCAGTGGCGTGACGTCATATGAAAACAAGCTATAGGGTTCATTCTCATGTTACGCGTCACATTTGAGCTTCAGCAAGAGCCAATAGGGTTCATTCTCGTGTTACGCATCACATTTGAGCTTCAGCAAGAGCCAATAGGGTTCATTCTCGTGTTACGCATCACGTTTGAGCTTCAGCAAGAGCCAATGGGGTTCATTCTCGTGTTACGCATCACATTTGAGCTTCAGCAAGAACCAATGAGGTTCATTCTCGTGTTACGCATCACATTTGAGCTTCAGCAAGAGCCAATGGGGTTCATTTATCGTGTTACGCGTCACGTTTGAGCTTCAGCAAGAGCCAATGAGGTTCATTCTCGTGTTACGTGTCACGTTTGAGCTTCAGCAAGAGCCAATGGGGTTCATTCTCGTGTTACGCATCACATTTGAGCTTCAGTAAGAGCCAATGGGGTTCATTCTCGTGTTACGCATCACATTTGAGCTTCAGCAAGAGCCAATGGGGTTCATTTATCATGTTACGCGTCACGTTTGAGCTTCAGCAAGAGCCAATGAGGTTCATTCTCGTGTTACGTGTCACGTTTGAGCTTCAGCAAGAGCCAATGGGGTTCATTCTCATGTTACGCATCACGTTTGAGCTTCAGTAAGAGCCAATGGGGTTCATTCTCGTGTTACGCATCACGTTTGAGCTTCAGCAAGAGCCAATGAGGTTCATTCTCGTGTTACGCATCACGTTTGAGCTTCAGCAAGAGCCAATGAGGTTCATTCTCGTGTTACGCGTCACGTTTGAGCTTCAGTAAGAGCCAATGGGGTTCATTCTCGTGTTACGCATCACGTTTGAGCTTCAGCAAGAGCCAATGAGGTTCATTCTCGTGTTACGCATCACATTTTGAGCTTCAGCAAGAGCCAATGGGGTTCATTTATCGTGTTACGCGTCACGTTTGAGCTTCAGCAAGAGCCAATGAGGTTCATTCTCGTGTTACGTGTCACGTTTGAGCTTCAGCAAGAGCCAATGGGGTTCATTCTCATGTTACGCATCACGTTTGAGCTTCAGTAAGAGCCAATGAGGTTCATTCTCGTGTTACGCGTCACGTTTGAGCTTCAGCAAGAGCCAATGAGGTTCATTCTCGTGTTACGCATCACGTTTGAGCTTCAGCAAGAGCCAATGAGGTTCATTCTCGTGTTACGCGTCACGTTTGAGCTTCAGCAAGAGCCAATGAGGTTCATTCTCGTGTTACGCGTCACGTTTGAGCTTCAGCAAGAGCCAATGAGGTTCATTCTCGTGTTACGCATCACGTTTAAGCTTCAGCAAGAGCCAATGGGGTTCATTCTCATGTTACGCATCACGTTTGAGCTTCAGCAAGAGCCAATGGGGTTCATTCTCATGTTACTCATCACGTTTGAGCTTCAGCAAGAGCCAATGAGGTTCATTCTCGTGTAACGCAGCACGTTTGAGCTTCAGCAAGAGCCAATGGGGTTCATTCTCATGTTACGCATCACGTTTGAGCTTCAGCAAGAGCCAATGAGGTTCATTCTCGTGTTACGCGTCACATTTGAGCTTCAGCAAGAGCCAATGAGGTTCATTCTCGTGTTACGCATCACATTTGAGCTTCAGCAAGAGCCAATAGGGTTCATTCTCGTGTTACGCATCACGTTTGAGCTTCAGCAAGAGCCAATGGGGTTCATTCTCGTGTTACGCGTCACATTTGAGCTTCAGCAAGAACCAATGAGGTTCATTCTCGTGTTACGCATCACATTTGAGCTTCAGCAAGAGCCAATGGGGTTCATTTATCGTGTTACGCGTCACGTTTGAGCTTCAGCAAGAGCCAATGAGGTTCATTCTCGTGTTACGTGTCACGTTTGAGCTTCAGCAAGAGCCAATGGGGTTCATTCTCATGTTACGCATCACGTTTGAGCTTCTGCAAGAGCCAATGAGGTTCATTCTCGTGTAACGCAGCACGTTTGAGCTTCAGCAAGAGCCAATGGGGTTCATTCTCATGTTACGCATCACGTTTGAGCTTTAGCAAGAGCCAATGAGGTTCATTCTCGTGTAACGCAGCACGTTTGAGCTTCAGCAAGAGCCAATGGGGTTCATTCTCATGTTACGCATCACGTTTGAGCTTCAGCAAGAGCCAATGAGGTTCATTCTTGTGTTACGCAGCACGTTTGAGCTTCAGCAAGAGCCAATGGGGTTCATTCTCATGTTACGCATCACGTTTGAGCTTCAGCAAGAGCCAATGGGGTTCATTCTCGTGTTACGCGTCACATTTGAGCTTCAGCAAGAACCAATGAGGTTCATTCTCGTGTTACGCATCACATTTGAGCTTCAGCAAGAGCCATTAGGGTTCATTCTCGTGTTACGCATCACGTTTGAGCTTCAGCAAGAGCCAATGGGGTTCATTCTCGTGTTACGCGTCACATTTGAGCTTCAGCAAGAACCAATGAGGTTCATTCTCGTGTTACGCATCACGTTTGAGCTTCAGCAAGAGCCAATGGGGTTCATTTATCGTGTTACGCGTCACGTTTGAGCTTCAGCAAGAGCCAATGAGGTTCATTCTCGTGTTACGCATCACATTTGAGCTTCAGCAAGAGCCAATGAGGTTCATTCTCGTGTTACGCATCACGTTTGAGCTTCAGCAAGAGCCAATGAGGTTCATTCTCGTGTTACGTGTCACGTTTGAGCTTCAGCAAGAGCCAATGGGGTTCATTCTCGTGTTACGCATCACGTTTAAGCTTCAGCAAGAGCCAATGAGGTTCATTCTCGTGTTACGCATCACATTTGAGCTTCAGCAAGAGCCAATGAGGTTCATTCTCGTGTTACGCATCACGTTTGAGCTTCAGCAAGAGCCAATGAGGTTCATTCTCGTGTTACGTGTCACGTTTGAGCTTCAGCAAGAGCCAATGGGGTTCATTCTCGTGTTACGCGTCACGTTTAAGCTTCAGCAAGAGCCAATGAGGTTCATTCTCGTGTTACGCATCACATTTGAGCTTCAGCAAGAGCCAATGAGGTTCATTCTCGTGTTACGCATCACGTTTGAGCTTCAGCAAGAGCCAATGAGGTTCATTCTCGTGTTACGTGTCACGTTTGAGCTTCAGCAAGAGCCAATGGGGTTCATTCTCGTGTTACGCATCACATTTGAGCTTCAGTAAGAGCCAATGGGGTTCATTCTCGTGTTACGCATCACATTTGAGCTTCAGCAAGAGCCAATGGGGTTCATTCTCGTGTTACGCGTCACGTTTGAGCTTCAGCAAGAGCCAATGAGGTTCATTCTCGTGTTACGTGTCACGTTTGAGCTTCAGTAAGAGCCAATGGGGTTCATTCTCATGTTACGCATCACGTTTGAGCTTCAGTAAGAGCCAATGGGGTTCATTCTCGTGTTACGCATCACGTTTGAGCTTCAGCAAGAGCCAATGAGGTTCATTCTCGTGTTACGCATCACGTTTGAGCTTCAGTAAGAGCCAATGGGGTTCATTCTCGTGTTACGCATCACGTTTGAGCTTCAGCAAGAGCCAATGAGGTTCATTCTCGTGTTACGCATCACGTTTGAGCTTTAGCAAGAGCCAATGGGGTTCATTCTCGTGTTACGCATCACGTTTGAGCTTCAGCAAGAGCCAATGAGGTTCATTCTCATGTTACGCATCACGTTTGAGCTTCAGTAAGAGCCAATGGGGTTCATTCTCGTGTTACGCATCACGTTTGAGCTTCAGCAAGAGCCAATGAGGTTCATTCTCGTGTTACGCATCACGTTTGAGCTTTAGCAAGAGCCAATGGGGTTCATTCTCATGTTACGCATCACGTTTGAGCTTCAGCAAGAGCCAATGAGGTTCATTCTCGTGTAACGCATCACGTTTGAGCTTCAGCAAGAGCCAATGGGGTTCATTCTCATGTTACGCATCACGTTTGAGCTTCAGCAAGAGCCAATGAGGTTCATTCTTGTGTTACGCAGCACGTTTGAGCTTCAGCAAGAGCCAATGGGGTTCATTCTCATGTTACGCATCACGTTTGAGCTTCAGCAAGAGCCAATGAGGTTCATTCTTGTGTTACGCAGCACGTTTGAGCTTCAGCAAGAGCCAATGGGGTTCATTCTCATGTTACGCATCACGTTTGAGCTTCAGCAAGAGCCAATGAGGTTCATTCTCGTGTTACGCGTCACGTTTGAGCTTCAGCAAGAGCCAATGGGGTTCATTCTCATGTTACGCATCACGTTTGAGCTTCAGCAAGAGCCAATGAGGTTCATTCTCGTGTTACGCGTCACGTTTGAGCTTCAGCAAGAGCCAATGAGGTTCATTCTTGTGTTAAGCGTCACGTTTGAGCTTCAGCAAGAGCCAATGAGGTTCATTCTCGTGTTACGCGTCACGTTTGAGCTTCAGCAAGAGCCAATGAGGTTCATTCTTGTGTTACGCAGCACGTTTGAGCTTCAGCAAGAGGTTTGATCTAGCGTGTCAAGCAGGTTTTGGTTGAGTTTCTCTTTTTGTTCGCTGATCAATGTGTATATGTGAATAAAAGCCTAAATTAAATTTGTACATCAAGTAAAGTGATCAAGTCTCTTTAGCAAATTTGGACTAAACCGCTCAACTATGGTTTGTTTTACAATCTCTTTATGGACTTTTTAAAATGTCAAATTGTTAGTTACTGGACTGTCAATGGAGGGACAGAAAGCTCTAAGATTTCATCAAAAAGATCTTAATTTGTGTTCCGAAGATGAACGAAAGTCTTACGGGTTTGGAACGACATGAGAGTGAGTAATTAATGACAGAATTAATTCCTTTTTTGGTGAACGAGCCCTTTAAAAGGCCCATTATCTAGAACTGATCTGGTCTCAGATCAGCTTATAATTCTAAGCACAAACACAAATAACCTAAAAGTCTGATCAACCTTTTATGTATCCTGAGAAATGTTTCCTCGTGGGTGTGATTCGATTCGGGAGTTTTCCAGCGTGTCCATTTAACTTCTGGATATGCTTCAATTTGCACACTAAGTTTAACAATATCCCCTTGCATCACCTCAATATCCGTTCTATTCACCTTGTGTTCAGAGGACAGGATGGGAGTAAGTTTAATGTAAGGTTTATCTGAAAGAAAACAGCAAGACCACGACTTAGACACAATTTCACAGACAAATTTTACACACAAAAAAACTTGTATAAACTGGAATAAAGAAACCTACCTACAACTGTAAGAACTGCAGTGACGCTGTTTTGTCCAGCTTTATTCTGCCCGGTGCAGGTTAGATTCCCTGAGTCAGACATGTTGACTTCATGAAGAGTCAAAAGGGAAGTGAAGCAAATGTCACACCTTTTGTCTTTCTTTGTTTCATGATTCAGTACCTAAGTTGAACAAATATTGCTAAATTTTTTTACCAAACGGTGCAGTAAGCATTCAAAACAATCTTACAACAATCAGGAACTGAAATGGATTTAGAGGAACTGAATGGGCTGGCATTGAATTGAAATCAGGTCCCACTTTATATAAAGTGTCTTTACATAATTCATAATTTGATACAGTACACTTATACATACGTATACATGTTTTTACATTGTACTAAAGTTTAAAAAAATGCCGGTAACACTTTATTTTACAGTGTCCTTGTTACACGTTACATAGTTACTGTATTAAAAACTTTAAATTATGCATAATTACATGCAACTAACCCTAAACCAAACCCCAATCCTAACCCTAACCCTATGGTAAGTACATATAGTTAATTATTATTACAGTTACACAGAATTAAAATGCATAACTACACTGTAACACGGACACCTTAAAATAAAGGGTCACACTTTAGTTTAGTGTCCTTGTTACATATGTTACATGTACTTACCATAGTAATTACAGTAAATTATGCATAATTACATGCAACTAACCCTCAACCAAACTCTAACCCTATATTGAGTACATGTTTTTCATTAATATTACTCAGTACTTATAATAATTACACTGTAACAATGACACCTTAAAATAAAGTGTAACTAAATAAGGGTTACCAAAATACCTGAATGTAATTACATCTATAATTACACTGTTGACCCGTAACCCACCCATAAACCGACCCATACCATGAAACCTGTCTCAGTGCAATACAACAACTGTCAATATAACATGAAAACAATAAGTACATTGTACATAACATTTATTATTTTTCTTTTGAAAATGTATACCTAGTATAAATTGTGACTGAAAACATGCATAACTATCTGTTAGTTGACCCTGTTAGGGCTGTAGATCGCATCAAAAATATAAAGTATAGAAATCTTTTGGTAATATTTTGTAATCCTTCTGGATCTTGTGATCATGTCTTGGTCTAGATCTCGGCCTCGAGGGGTCTGGAACTGGAAGAGTTTGGTCTCGACTCCAAACATTACACGCAACAGATTGATAGAAAGTCATAATAGTTGAAAATATAGATTGCTTCATACATTTTTTTTTTGTTTGGGTGTGATTTGCATCATAAAAGATCTGAGAAAGATTTGTCCCCTGGCAGATGGTGAAATTTTCTCACTTACAAAAAAACAAAAACAAAAACACTTTAAATAATAACTGGATATGCAATATGTGACAGCTGCTCCATAAGAGATGCAATTATTATGTTTATTGCGTGATTAATCCGAAAATAATACAAGAGAACTGAAATACAATGGCATCCAAAGAGGACACCAACAATGCCAGGATAAAAACACAACTTTATTTACATTTACATTTTGTAAATAAAGTCGTAAATTATGTTTTTTGAGCAAACACAGCACTCGCATCGCTTCATAAAATTGAGGTTAATCCATGGATTACTTTAATGACGTCTTTACTACCTTTCTGGGCCTTGAAAGTGGTAGTTGCGTAGCCTGTCAATGGAGGGACAGAAATCTCACAGATTTGATAAAAAATAACTTCATTTGTATTACGAAGATGAACGGGTTTGAAAGGACATGAAGGAGAGTAATTTGTGGTTGAATTAACCCTCTAATTAAAGTGTTATCTGGAATTCCTCTACTCTTGATATGCATGTATGCATTGATAAAGAGTGGGAGTAGCTCAGTGATGCTTTGGGACATTTGATTATTTATAAACATATGGAAGTTTGGAATATCTTTACTAGAATTTCAAAACAGACAGCAGTCGTGTCTGTGATCACAAGCCGAGAGTCTAGACCAAGACACTGTGTAATGAAATTAAGACCAAGGCCATGTTTTCAAGAAGTTTCAAGACCAGGATTGTCTGATTGATTCAGTTCCTTACCAATAATATTTAGTTTTTAATGTTTGTAATGAGATTGAGTTCTTGGAACACTTCACCTTTTCTGATGAGCTCCAGGTGATGTTGAATGAATGATCTTGGTTTTCGAGGTAACAAGGGATACGCAGCGTTTCACCAACGATTCGCACATACTGATGGTCTGGAAGTGACAGTGGCGGCGGCTGCTGCGCTTCTGCAGAAATACATGGGTAGTGCAGGATTGCTACAACAACACACCATTCCTGCCATATCTTCCGTCAATGAGATTTGACAAAACAGCATAAAAGACTCACACAACTCACTTTCTAGGACAGTGACTCTGAAGACATCAGACTGCATTTGGACTCCATTAATCTTCACAGTACACACATAATCTCCGTCGTAGCTAGGCTGAAGGTTTTGTATCAGAATGCCACGTTTGGGATCCGCAGTATAATTGATCATGGACGGGACGTCTGACCCGTTCCCCATCTTGAGGGAGAACTCAGTACTCGCTGGGTCCGTCACCAAGCAGTCCAGCCAGTGGTTTGAGCCTTCTTTCTCAACTATCACTGGGTTTTGAGGGCTAGTGAAGGCTTTGACAGAATCTATTGCAGTAAAAAAATGTAAAAAACACACTTCAGCCCATCCCAATTACTGATTATTATCATAATCTTTTTTGTACATTCCCACAATTTTGTGTATTTATTAATTGCAGATGCTTTAACCTGTTAACTGTCACCCCCCTTTTTTTGAATATACATGAAAATGCACATTTCGAACTTAAATGGTTGTAATTCAAGAATGCTTTGGAATATAGACGTAAGAAGATATTTGGCAGATTTTTGTAGAAGTGAAATAAATTAAGAAAGTGAAACGAAGTGAAAAGAAGTTTGAGTTTATGAAAATGTTCAATGTAACAAATTGTATGATTCATATTTTATATAAAATATATAATTTCAAAACCTGGGCGACTCTAAAACTGCAAAAAAAATCAAAGCCAAAACTCTGAACAAGTTGTGTTCCAAATTTTAGGTTGATATCTCAGTAAATGAGCTTTCAGTGAGTGTGTGTGTGTGTGTGCGCAGTACTGAACGCTTCCACTAGGGCACAACCAGACTCCATTACTGCCCATATAAGGGCGCCGCCATCTCCATTTGTGTTTGAGTGATCTGAACCATTATTTCCACAATTTTCATACAATTTATGAAGTAGGCATCCTATTCAGAAGTAATATGAGAAGTTTGGCAGATTTTGATATGAATTCAACCTCTAAGAAACATAAAATCTATAATTTTTTTCTTTATATTTAAAACAATTTCAGACCTTTTTTTCTAAAATGATTGAATGGATGCTATCTTTTGAACTCTTGGCATGAAAACAAACTGAAGTTTCTACCATTCTTTCATGATTTTTCATGTTCATCACTATTTCAAAATAAAGGTCTAAACACGCCTTAGGAGGATGATATTTGCCTTAGTCTTGTTGCAAATTGATAATTTACGGCTCCTCTATACTATTTTGAAAATCAATCACCAAATATGGAAACTAGAGATTGTAAGCTTTCAAATGATATATAGTTTGTTAAGATTAGTTTAGGTTTAGTGTAGGATATTACTGTTTTAAAAAATGTAATGGATTTGGGCCCACCGGTGGGCCGGTGAACGTTTTGATTCATTAAATTCACAAGTTAAAATAGCATTTCTGATTCTGGTTAACACTTTATTTTACAGTGTCCTTGTTACACGTTACATGTAGTTACTGTAGTAATAACTATACATTATGCATAATTACATGCAACAAACCCTAAAACAAACCCCAATCCTAACTCTAACTCTATAGTAATTAGGCTACATGTAGTTAATTATTATAAATCAGTACTTAAATACATGATTACACTGTAACATGGACACCTTAAAATATAATGTAACCCACTTTATTTTACATGTTACATGTAGTTACCATCGTAATAACAGTAAATTATGCATAATTACATGCAATTAACCCTCAAACAAAAGTAATATTACTCCGTACATAAATGTATAATTATGGTGTAACAAAGACACCTTTAAAATAGTTTAACCCAATTGTGTTCTTAAAGTCACAGTTCCTAGTGCTTAGAGTGTGAGAACTGTTAATAAATGTGGTCATTGCACCGCTTTGGAATGCATGATTCTGATTGGTCAGTAGCACCAAATACTGAGTTAAAATCATCTTGACTCTAAACTGCACAACTGAGTGTTGTCTCAGGCAAACAATAGGTTACACTTTATGGTAACACTTTATTTTACAGTGTCCTTGTTACATATGTTACATGTGCTTACCATTAACAGTAAATTATGCATAATTACATGCAACTAACCCTCAACCAAACCCTATAGTAAGAACATATACACTGTAAAAAAATTATTAAGATGATTTGTTATCACAGCATTTATTATTTTGTCAAATCAACTTAGATCATTTATGTGGTTCAGATAACTTAATATTTTGACTTTCTGTTGATTAAATCTCTTCATGTCATTTTTTTTATTTAAATGAACTTAAAATTTTAAGGCAAACAGCAGTTTACTCACTTTAAGTTAAACCAACAATATTTGTTTACAGTGTAGTTAAAATAATATTACTCAGTACTTAAATTTATAATTACACTGTAACGATGACACTTTAAAATAAAATGCAACCCACTTAAAATAAAGTGTAACCCAAGTTTTCAATGTGATTACTTACTCAAATAAATACTGAGTGATATTAATTATAGATATGTACATACTATAGAGTTAAGGTAGGATTTGGTTTACTGTTAGTTACTTGTAATATGCATTATTTGCTGTTATTACCGTAGTAAGTACATGTGTAACTACGTCACCTTAAAATGAAGTTTTACCAAACAGAAATTTCATATTTCTTGTAACAAATTTCCTGTCTTTCTGCTTAATCCATCCCGAAAAAAAAAAATATTTATCTACGTTTAGTCCCTGTACAATCAGTGCATCGTCAGTGTAAACTATTCATATCGAAAATGAAACCCATTCAGGGTGATGCAACATTTACTTTGCGATAATTACTGTTAGATAATCATTGTAATTGGTATAGTGCACATACCTTTAACATATATGTGTATCTCTGAGTACAGGTGTGTTTGACTCTTGTAACTGCAGCGGTACGTCCCCGTGTGCTCTGCGCTGGGCTCTGGGACCGAGAGGACCGTTCGGGAGACGTGTTTCTGCAGTCGGGCGAGTCGTGTCCTCCACATGATCTCCTCCTGTCCCTCACAGAGCAGACGCAAGGGTTCCTTCGCTGACCAGACCATCTCAGATCCATTCAGAGGAGAGGAGTTCAGCTTTATCACTGGAGCGGGAAACTCTGCTCAGACACACAGAAGAGGTCAAAGGTCAAGGTCACGTTTGTTTATATACACTGTAAGAGCAACATGAGTGCAGACCAAAGTGTTGCGCAACATGCAAAATGACACATCACTCTACAATAGAATAGAAAATTACTCATTTAAATACTGATCATTTAAAAGGAAAAAAAGAGAGAAAAACATAACACAAAACATCACCAGACAAATGTAAAACATAAAGGTGCTACGAAGTTACGCATAAGCCAGAAAAAAGAGATATATTTTAGGAGATGATTTAAATGTAGATATAGATGATCTACTGGAAAGAGGTCATGTGTTTTTGAATTGATATTTTGAAGTCAGTAACAGCCGTGTTAAAGACCGAAACAAACACGCTCAACAGAATACAGATATTCTTCAAGTTTCAAGACGTTATTGTGAGTATAAAGCACAGAAATTATTCTCCACATTTTTTCTTTAGGACCCAGTGAAAAGTTTAAAAGACGTTTTTAATTGCGATTTCATGCATTCATTGGTTTCATGATCGTGTTTTCCACAGAATTATCTGATGGTTTTGTTTTCCTCGTGTCATACACTCACCTAAAGGATTATTAGGAACACCTGTTCAATTTCTCATTCATGCAATTATCTAATCAACCAATCACATGGCAGTTGCTTCAATGCATTTAGGGGTGTGGTCCTGGTCAAGACAATCTCCTGAACTCCAAACTGAATGTCAGAATGGGAAAGAAAGGTGATTTAAGCAATTTTGAGCGTGGCATGGTTGTTGGTGCCAGACGGGCCGGTCTGAGTATTTCACAATCTGCTCAGTTACTGGGATTTTCACGCAAAACCATTTTAAGGGTTTACACAGAATGGTGTGAAAAGGGAAAATCATCCAGTATGCGGCAGTCCTGTGGGCGAAAATGCCTTGTTGATGCTAGAGGTCAGAGGAGAATGGGCTGACTGATTCAAGCTGATAGAAGAGCAACTTTGACTGAAATAACCACTCGTTACAACCGAGGTATGCAGCAAAGCATTTGTGAAGCCACAACACGCACAACCTTGAGGCGGATGGGCTACAACAGCAGAAGACCCCACCGGGTACCACTCATCTCCACTACAAATAGGAAAAAGAGGCTACAATTTGCAAGAGCTCACCAAAATTGGACAGTTGAAGACTGGAAAAATGTTGCCTGGTCTGATGAGTCTCGATTTCTGTTGAGACATTCAGATGGTAGAGTCAGAATTTGGCGTAAACAGAATGAGAACATGGATCCATCATGCCTTTTTACCACTGTGCAGGCTGGTGGTGGTGGTGTAATGGTGTGGGGGATGTTTTCTTGGCACACTTTAGGCCCCTTAGTGCCAATTGGGCATTGTTTAAATGCCACGGCCTACCTGAGCATTGTTTCTGACCATGTCCATCCCTTTATGGCCACCATGTACCCATCCTCTGATGGCTACTTCCAGCAGGATAATGCACCATGTCACAAAGCTCGAATCATTTCAAATTGGTTTCTTGAACATGACAATGAGTTCACTGTACTAAAATGGCCCCCACAGTCACCAGATCTCAACCCAATAGAGCATCTTTGGGATGTGGTGGAACGGGAGCTTCGTGCCCTGGATGTGCATCCCACAAATCTCCATCAACTGCAAGATGCTATCCTATCAATATGGGCCAACATTTCTAAAGAATGCTTTCAGGGGGTCAAACACAGTATTAGTATGGTGTTCCTAATAATCCCTTAGGTGAGTGTATATGTCTAAAACACGGTTTGATCGACTTGTGAGATGTGGTTTGTGTGATACGTGTGCCGTGAACTGATGCTGGACACAGTGCCGTCAGATCGCAGTCTTCTCAGGATTATTGTAGGCCGGTTTTAATGTCAACACGTTCATGTCAGTAACTTTAAGCAGTCCTGAAAGCTGGATATATTTACATACCATGAAATAAATAATAAAACAAAATCTATCTTGACTGACACAAGTCTCACCATAATAAATAATAGATAAATTAATCTCTCTTGATATAATTACGTAACTTCTGTTCTGTCACTGGCCATATGTGACGCAGGGGAACTTTGTTATTAATATTTGTATTATTATTAGCAGGTTTTTAACCTCTGCAGTGCCGCTTTTGAAAGTTTTCTTCCCCACATTAAGACAGAAGACTTCTTAAATGTATTCAGTGTTTTCCTTATTTAAAACAAGGTATTTTCACCAAATATCCTGTGCTGGAATTGATTTGTTAATAAAGTGATGTGTGTTCTGTATTTTGCTCAATGTATTTATGATTTGCAAGGCAAGGCAAGGCAGGTTTATTTATATAGCACATTTCACACACAATGGTATTTCAAAGTGCTTTACATAGAGGAAATTAAAATAATCAAAAGGAATAAGTGTCTTTTGGGACAGTGAAAAATAAAATTGCAACTACAATATACAATATTTAATTGGGCCAACAATTTGTTCCATTGGCTCAGCATATTATTTCTGATTGAGCCAATGTTAAGACACTTTTTGAGTTGGAGAGGTCTGATTATTTGATTATGTTTTACTGTAATCTGAGAGGAGGATCCGAATATGGGATGAAACAGATCTGAGATAAGTTGGAGCAACACCATACAGTGCTTTAAACACGAACACTAAAACCTTCAAATCAACTCTATATTCAACAGGTAAGCAATGAAGAGATGCTAACACAGAAAAAGAGCAGAAATAGAAATATGTTAAATGCTGTGCATTGGTAAAACAGTGAGATTGATTAATTCAATGATTCCTGATGCCGAACAAAGGTATCATCAATAGCTTGTTTATTGTCATTTGATCATGCCATGAAACATGTTACAGGTAAAGTTAGATCAACCACAAAACAAATCATTCATCAATCAAGACATTCATCAAAAAAGTTCATCAAAGTTGTTCTAAGACAAGAACCGGTATTGTTCAAAATTCATGTGTAATTTTGATGAAAGGTTTTGATCCACTTGAAATGTTGACTACTGTATATCAGCTAATGATATGCACTTCTTGATTAGGATGTCAGGATTAGGTCGTTTTAGCTATCGTGACGTTTTTAGCGTGCCTTTTTGTTAGTACAAGTTTTATACAGTCAAACCAAAATTTATTAAGACCCTCTTCAACATTTCTCACATTATCACAGTTTATTCGCTATAGTTTAGAAAACGGTCACAAAATATGAGCAGAGCTCAGTGGATATTTGACTGGTTTTGTCCGTCCTTCTGTTAGACTCTCACACATGAATTATGTTGAATATCTGTCAGCTGTTAAATTTAACTACACAATTAGATAATACCAGTTTAGCTCAACCAGTGACCAAGCAATGCTTCATGTTGTTCAGTGTGTGTGTAAAAAGAGCATTAGCAGTTACAGAAAACACACTTCAGCAAAACATGAGCAGCTCAAAGTGGAGGAATCATTCCCAAATGTTTATAAGTTTTACTGGTAGTCACTGTATGAAGAATATTTGGGTATAATATGTCACAGTTTACTTTATTTTGCTCTCCTCACTTACATAAATGAACTATTGTGTCCTGCACACACTAGTGAAAAAAATATCAAAAATGGTGACTGAATAATATTTGGTTTGACCGTATGTCATAAAAATGCGGTTTCTCCTGCGTGTTTATTGGCTCTGTCTCTTGAGTCCCTCCTGCATCATGGTGGCGATGCGGGACGTTTGCAGGAGGAGAGCCTGATGGTTCTCCACGAGGAGGCTCTGAAGACGGGCCATGCTCTGCAGGTGATTAATCTCCTGTTCGCCCCGATCGTTCATGACCCGCAGGACCTTCAGCACCTCGACCTGGACGCTGGCCGCCTCCTTGTTCTCCTGCACCAGCTGATTCAGGGCCTTCACCATCTCCCCGAACCAGCCCCTGCTCTCCTGCTCCTCCTGGATGAGCTGAGCGAGAGAGAGCTTCAGCTCGTCCAGGCCACAGCACGCCGGGGACGCCGGGGACGCCGGGGACGCCGGGGACGCCGGGGACGCCGGGGACGCCGGGGACGCCGGGGACGAGCTCTTATCCACATCGCTCACTGTCATATCATACGGGCTGATTAGCTCTTCATTTGCTAAAGGGAGCACACATATAGTAAGCTGCAAAATATCCCCACAAACAAGTTGTAGAATTATGTCACACTCTACAAATGCCCAACTTTGGGTCAAATATGGATAAACCTTGCCTAATTTTTAAATTACCTTTTTAACCCAACACTGTAAAAAAGTATCGTGATTTTAACGGTAAAAGACTGTAAAAATGCTTCAGTGAAAAACTGTTAATTGGTTAACAGAAAGTTTCCTTACTATATACGGTAAATAACTGTGATGGATCTAATGGTACATTTCATGTAATTTTACTGTAAAATACCATTAAATTTACAGTTTTTGAAAGTGAAAAAGAACAACTCATGGTATAATTTACAGTGAAAAACCGCAAATTGACATTCCCACAATTCCCTGCGTGACACTTCACATTTGATGTGTTTTTGTTGAAATAACTGTTTCTTCATAGTTTGCTTAGTCTTTTTCTAATCAGTTACGTACATCAGGGTTTTATGTGATATTTAATGTTGTTATATTAATGTTTATTGCCTTTTTAAAATTTCATATGTGTTACCATGATGGTGTTTAATGTTTGTGTGAATGACACTGTGCAGCTTCTGTATATCAGTATTAACTGTCTTGTGGAAGAACTGCTTATGATGAGCTGTGATTGATCATGTGACTCTCATCACTGCTGTGATTGTTGGCTGTCAGTGTATTACAATGGTATAAAACAGATATTAATACTTCAATAGGTCAGAAAATTACCATTATATCAGATAATGAAATACGGTTTATTTCTGTAAATTTTAAGTTAAGTCTGTAAAACCTTGCTACCGTAAAGTCTTGCTACTGTATTTTATATGGTAAATTTCTGGCAAGCACAGCTGCCGGTATTTTACCGTAAATTGAACAGATTTTTTTTTACAGTGAACGTTTGGGTTTGTCTAT